GATTCCATTTATATTACTCACTTCTATGAAGGTCAAATATAAACAAAACTAATCAGTGAGGAGAGGTCAGAAAAGTCATTAAATTTGTAGGGCAGATATTTGAGTCCAAGTAGTGGTTACACAGGTGTCTGTGGGTATGTGTGTAGAAACATGTCACATGGTAGGCCCACATGCACTTATGTGCATGTGTATGTATCAATCAATCAATCAAGGCCAGAAAGAGTGGGATCAAACAAAAATAGATAGGCTTTTTACAGAAGTTGGGACCGTTTTCCAACGTAATAAGGAAAAAAGATGGGTTCAGAAACTGGTAGTTTTGTCAGTTTGATGGCAGAAAGATGGGGGAGCTATTGCTCCAGGTTTTTATTTTCTCAGTCTCATGAGTTGAGGTTATGCAGAAGCAGAAATTGGGAGCTATCAGAATAAAGCAAGCTGATACACTGAAAATTGGTTACAGATGTTATTAGTATCCTGTTGCTGCTGGATATACTACAAAGTTGTAGTAATCAAAACTGTATGGTACTGGCACAAAAACAGACACACAACATCAATGGAACAGAACAGAGAGGCCAGAAATAAATCCACAATTACATGGTCAATTAATCTATGACAAAGAAGGAAAGAATATACAATGGGGGAAAGACATTCTCTTCAGTAAGTGTCGGGAAAACTGGATAGCTACATGCAAGAGAACAAAACTGGGCCACTTTCTTACACCATACACAAAAATAGACTCAAATGGATTAAAGGCCTAAATTTAGAACCAAAACCCAAAACTCCTAAAAGAAAATATAGGCAGCAACCCCCTCGATATCAGTCTTAACAATATTTTCTGCATCTGTCTCCTCAGGCAAGGGAAACAGTTAAGGGAAAACCATCAACAAAATGAAAAGGCAATATACTAAATGGGAGAAGATAATTTGCAAATGATATATCTAAAAAAGGATTAATATCCAAAATATATAGACAACTCATATAACTCAGTACCAAAAACAAATTTTTAAATCCCATAAATAATCCAATTACAAAATGGGCAGAGGACCTGAGTAGACATTTTTCCAAAGAAGACATACGCATGGCCAACAGACACATGACAAGAAGCTCAACACTACTAATCATCAGGGAAATGCAAATCAAAACCATGAGCTATCACCTGACACCAGTCAGAATGGCTATATCAAAAAGGTAAGAAAGAACAAATGTTCACCAGGATATGGAGAAAAGGAAGCCCTTATGCACTGTTGGTGGGAATGTAAACTGGTGCAGCAACTATGGAAAACAGTATGGAGGGTCCTCAAAAGATTAAAAATAGAAATACCATGTAACCCAGTTAATTCTACTTCTGGATATTCATGCAAAGGAAACAAAAACACTAATTCAAAAAGATATATGCATCTTTTCGGGGGAAAAAGCAAAGTATCAATGGTAATTGGGATGACCAATTTATAGAAATTCATTCATTTTAAAGTATAAGCAGCCAAAGAAGTGTTAAAATCATAACATTTTTTGTTTTGTTAAAAACAGTTAGTGAACATATTAGCATTTAAAGAAATGTTCACATTAATCAAAAGGGAAGAGAGAGAAGTACATGTGAAGAAGAAAACTCCTGACATTAGTTTTACTACATTTACCCTCATTTGGACAAGAATGACATTCCTGAGACTGCCTGTGATTTCTCAAATTCAAGAATATCTACACAAGATACTTTTTTCCCCCAAATAATGATTATATATAAAATAACCAAAAGATATACATCCATTTCAGAACCTGCATGGAAGTTATTGTGACAAGAAGAGAACAGACTCATCAAGACGGGGATGGGGAGTGGCATACTGCTCAAGAGCTAAATAATTCACTCTCACACAGCAGCCTCTTCATCAAAGTAATTCAAATTCTTGCCATTTCAAAATCACCTTCAGGGCTGCTCATGAATTGTTCAAATCTATAATGTTAAATCTACTGTAAGACTTGTACAGAGGGTACTTTTCCTAGAACTAGAAATTAAGGAGTTCTGATCCCCATAATCTATGAAGATTTTATTTAAACCTTTTTTTTTTTTTAATGCACTTCCAGAGGAAATAACTGCCCTCACTTTAAGGTTTAAAGTATTCACTGCTTTGGGGCGCCTGGGTGGCTCAGTGGGGTAAGCCTCTGCCTTCGGCTCAGGTCGTGATCTCAGGTCCCAGGATCGAGCCCCATATCAGGCTCTCTGCTCAGCAGGGAGCCTGCTTCCCTCTCTCTCTCTGCCTGCCTCTCTGCTTACTTGTGATCTCTCTCTTTCTGTCAAATAAATAAATAAAATCTTTAAATAAATAAATAAATAAAATAAAGTATTCACTGCTTTAAATATGACCTGAGAACCCAATTCAAAATGCAAATTCACAGGCTCCCATCATAGAGCTAATAATAAGAATTTGTGGGAGCAAGACTACAGAATCTACAGTTTTAATAGGCTCCCAGGAAGGAAGACCCATAAAGGACTTTGTGCTGTCACTTGAGCCACTGAGACATACTCGACATTTTCAGAGATTTGAGAAAATTTAACCAATCATCATTATTAAACTGAATCTTAACTTTGGGAGAACTCTCAATTTCACCATCAAATAAACTGTATCATTCTAACATTTCAATGATTTTTAAAAACCCAGTGTTGTTTTCTGAAGTTCACTTTTTATATACATCCAAATACCAAAACTCATTTTATATTTATAAATTATAGGCAGTTAACACTTTTCATACAAATAAGAGCTTCCAAAGAGTGAAATACCAAAACCATCAAATTCACTCACCAATAATCCCCCAATGATTATATAAGATCCATCTATTTCAGAATATACAAATTGTATGTGCAATAGCTGAAGGGTGTTCATTCAGATGGAAGAATAGCATTTAGCTTTATCATAGGCTAGCTGTCACTATGCCAGTCTACAGTTCACGTATGGTCCTTTAGAGAGACACTAAGTCTCATAAATTGTCAGAAAAGAAAAAAAAAGAGGCTCAAAATCTCTTAAATAACCAAGAATTCCTATGATTCCCATCTTGCTTTTGTTAAACCTGACTTATTCTTTTAGAAATTCTTATCATTTCTCTCAGTCTATATCCCTTTCTCTGATCTCTAAAATCACCTCCCTTAACTTTTATGACGTCATTAGTCACCTTTGCCAATAAATTTAGTATTTGTATATTTTAGTATTCATCAAAGATGAATCAGATTTCTCATAAGTTACCAAGAAGATATGAAATTTGGGTGATCTTGAATCTACCTGAAAATTAATATGTACTACTGAGAAGACCTTATACAGTGAATTTAATTAAGATGAGTTTACTTGGGGCTTTCCAAAGGAAATAACCATCTCTAATCAAATAAGAATGCCTAGGATGGAAAAAGAAAAAAATATTAACTCTCAGAGCCATTCAATAAATGGCTGAATAAAAAGCAGAAAAGTAGATACAGACTATGTTTAATAAAAGCTTTGAGACAAACTTTGTTTTGAAAGGAAAGCTACTTTTAAAAAATAATTATAAAGTACTATTAACTACCATAAAAAGTTACCCTGAGAAAACACACTACCTGGCAAGATAATTTGAAATTACATATAAACCAAAAATTTTATATTTAAAATATAAGTCTAAATGAACATCTTTTCAACCAGTAAAAATACAAACAGAAGGCTAAAGAAGTCCTTTACCAAACTAACATAATACCATTCAGTAAAAATATTGTTAAGCTTTCTCACCCATTCATTCAAAATGTGACAATAAATGAAGAAACACATTTTGGAATACAGTATCTTAGAAGCAGTTAAAACAAAATCCACTAATAATGACAAGTTTGTTAGGTAGGTTTCCAAAGATCTCTACATAAATTTCTTACATTTATTGATTTTTCTGATAAAGATCTTCTATGAAGAAGAATAAAATGTACTCTATGTAAACAGAGGCTACAAATAAATCAATGCATTGTGTATCATAGATGATTATATTTTAATAATTCTTACAATTGCAATAATTATTTTATTCACCTATATCTAGTTAAAATTCTGAAGTTTAAAAACACTAATGTTAAGGCCTTATAATCCACTTTTTAAATATAAAGCTACTAAGCAAAAAACAACAACAAGATAAAAATCAAGTTCTATGAATAAATATTTTAAAAGTAAGTACTCTAGGATCATAACACTGACAACACTAATTATCTTTTCTACTCTTGGCAGTTACGTTGTATACTGTTTGGGTGACTGATGGGATAATTTCACTTCATTTTCTTTCAGTTTATTCTGGACCATGTAGGGGAAGAATATTAAAATAATTAACACCTCTAAACAAAGTACTTGATAAATTTTTTTAGATTAAATAAGATGCTTAAAAAAAACACCTCAATTAGCTAATACATAACTCTAGAGCAAATAACAAATAACTAAACCTCTACCCATTAAAGGAAAACTTTCATTAAGAATATCTGATTTTAAAAAATGTCATTCAGTATTAAGTATTTTAGGACTTTTATATATTAAGATCATAAACGTTCACAAAAAAGCTCTTTTCATCAGTTTGAGCTAGCATTATCTTAATTATCAAAAATATAAATGTCTGTATATTTTTGTATCATTAAAGATTTTACTAAAAACATTTAATCAGCAGACATCAAAGCAGTGAGAAACAGGTAAAATGTATGATAAAACAAGTTATTTCAATTCCTTACACCTATAGACATTTTGATTAATTTATTGATAATGGCCATATAGCTGAAAGAAAACTGAAGTATTTAAATTAACATTTAATCTCAAATATAAATCTTTACCAAGAGCAAATACATTGTCACTCAACTTGTAAAAGTATAAAAAACATTAATAATCAACTTTTTTATTTGAACATTTTAATAAATTTTAAGTTATACATATAGTTTATGTATGTCTTACCTAATTTATAGGTCAAATAGCTTATAAGGCAGCTACATATTAAAAATAATTAATAAGAAGCATCTTCTTTGCCTTGATCACCTGATTTTTTGTTGTTGTTGTTTATAAAATTAATCACAGTTAGCAGGGTAGAAATCGCTTTGAGCTTCATGAATGACATCCAAGAGATGGGAAAGGATTAGTTCTCAGTTGCTGCCAGTTATAGCGCCAGGTGGCTTTTTCTGCAGTGAAGGTGTTACCGATAATCCCATTACACTGGTACTAAATCTTGCAGACATCAAAATTATCACCAAGGTTCCTTTTCATCCCATCCTTTCCAAATGACTGGAAGTCGCTTCACCTGAAAGAAGTCAAATCCACATGCAGCTGCTGTTTTAGCAGGCAGCAAACTCCCTGAGAATGCCAGTCGTGATTCAATTTTGCTGTGCTGGTGGCCCCCTATTCCCTGTCCAATAATACATCTGTTAAAAAATCCTACAGCTACAAATCAAGTTTAATCCTACCAGGGACCTCATGTTGGTCTTGTCTTCCAAAAAGGCAGCAGGTTCTGCTGTCTATCTCTGCTAGCGTCTGGGGAATACCCTTTAAATCCCAGCTCTACTTAGAAGAATAAGCTAAGGATCACAAAACATGACCTCAAAAACCCTGATATGACTATATTCTGACCCAGAGGCATTCACTCTAGGTGAAGATTAGAACTTTGCATAATAAGATTACACAGCAAGTGAATGATATCAAGGGACTATCCATATGCAGCCGCCTGGTCTTCTATGGGCAGCCTGCGCTCTGCAATACGCAGCGCGGACGAAAAAGAGCTTGGTCTTTCTAGCTGAAACAAAATAGATCCACATAAATTAGCCGGCCGTTTCCAGATTCCTAAATCCCCTATTACATCTTTTATTGACAGCTCCTGTGAGGATAGCACAAATGTTATTCCTTTTTATTCTGTGCTTCTATAACAATCATGCTCTGTAATTGAAATGTACATAGATTATGGCTCGAAATTAACATCTTGTTTGCTGTAATCTTGGATTACAATTGACTGTGTACATAATAAAATTAGGAAATCAATGGATGGATTTATCATCTCCAAGAAACTAGAGGTATTGTTTAAAGAATAGTTTAACATTTTGTGTCAACACTTTAAATGCAGAAGTCACAGAGAAGTCAATAAAAATTTAAGTGAGTAAAAGAATACAACAGGCATCATGCAATATCTACAGAAAAGTTGGACAAGGTCATAAAATACAGAAAAGGTCATAAAAATTAGCTCACTTCCCTCAAAATTTTAAAGTGTTAAAATATTCAAAATGTGAAAAATTCACAGATCTCATGAACATATGATGTGCTCTCAAACAAGAAGGTCAATTACACATAAGGTCTCTATTTTTTATAAAGTGGGTGCAGTAGCTGTATTTTACAAACATCACCTTGATCATTTATACTTTACAATATTTGAATCAATTCAAATCAATTGTAACTCAAGGTTTTATAGTTCTTAATTACATGTTTCTAAAGTACTTAATGAAGTTCCCTCTATTTTTTAATATATACGGAACATTTAAAATGTGTAGAATCCTAGGGAACTTTATGTTCAGTTTTTTTTTCTTCCAACAAGTTTAAAAAATTTTGAGTTCTAAGCAAACTTATATGAAAAGTGAGATATACATTTACACAAATACCTGTGCAGAAAAATTCTAAGAATGCGAAGAGGAGTTCTCAACTTTATTTAAGAAAAAAGTATTAATATTTGCCATGAGATTCTTATAAAACTAAGCTCCTTGATATACTTGAAATATGTTTGACAAATCTGATTTGCCCACAACTGTTGCAGAGCATACTACATCCATTACATTAGCCATTATTTCCTTATCATCACAATATATTTAAGGGTATCTATACAATATCTGAAAGTACTCAGGAGTCAGAGGACATAATTATGATTCTGTGTATTAATCAGGCAGATATATACCAACAGTATCAATTGTAGAGCTATAAAAATACCATACGTAATTTCAATTACATAGCTCATGAATATTCTTTGGTCACTTGTGTAGGATATTACTAGAAAAGTAATGAGGAATGCAAAAAATACACATTTTGTTATGATATTTATATGTAGAACTTTAGAGCTACAATGTTCAATAAGGTAACCTTAGCTACATATGACTACTGAGCATATGAAATGAGACTAGTCCAAATTGAGATGTATTAAAAGTATAAATATACACTGGACTTTGAAGACATAGTACAAAAAATACTAAAAATATTTTACATTGATTACATGTTGAAAGGTAATATTTTGGATATAATGGATTAAATAAAATATATAAATGACTTGCATTATATTTCTATTGGACAGCACTACTTTAGCAAATCATACATTTTCAATAATAAATTCCTAAGCTAACTGAAATTGCACAACTAATAAAAAATACTAAAGCAGGAGCTTATTTTGGAAAAACAAACATTCCAATGTCAAGTCTGACAGATAAGCTAAGAAAAGAACAAAATGCAGTCATTTCAGCTTATATTTCATATTTCTAACTTAAGGGGAATGGGAGAGGAAGGGACCAACCAAACTGCTGATCATCAGCATCAGAAAAGAATGATGTTTTATAGTTACAAAAATGCTTAGTCTAGTAAACAGAATTGTACAAAAAAATACATTTTGGGCAACTTCATAAAAGGGCTAGTTAGGTCTATTATGTTACCACTAATTGAATCCAATAGCAACTTCTGAAAATGTCTGGATCTAGAAAGGGCCATGATCTTTTTCTAAGGTGCTATATAATTATATTCAAAATTTAAGAAGAAATTATAAGTAACAACTACAGAGATTTGAAGCATTTAATATATTTCAGTATTTTAGCAAAATAAAAAAGGTCTATTTCATAAATTATTAGAAATCTGCTTTTCCATCAGTCTTTTCATTATATCCATCACTGTGGGTTAAAAAAAATCCATTAATAAAAAGGGTTTTACTAAAATAGGGAAGACTATAAGTAGTTAATATATAAAACATATACCTATTTTAATTCAAGAAAGTTAATGGCAGATTTAGTATGACCGGACAATTGATGTCCTACAATTAAAATACAAAGTCTATCTCTGTCACACATTGGAATATTATTTCAATATAAACAGCAGTATGTGAGGTACTAACTCATTTAAAAGTTGCTTTGTCATAATTATTACTTTATAACACTTATCTAAAAATACTAAAACTAATGATGAAATATGAGTATCAATAAATAAGATGGATAAAATCTAAATCAATTCTTTATGATCTAGCCATGTCACTTTTTCCTAGCCTTTTAAAATTATGTAAGTTCTTTCCTTTTCTGGTAGCAAGTATCACATAGACACACAGACACAGAGACACACACAAAAACAAAATAATAACAATAAAAAACTTTCCAAGCATCAATATATGAGTGTAATGATATTCAGTCTAAGTTAATCCCCAGACATCCAAATTCATGAATAAAAATTCATCAGTTTTAAATACACTGAGCCTATTAAGCAAGAACAAAAGCATATGCACAAAAGAGCTTTTAATATATTTCAAAGCCCACAAGAGCCATGGTCTCATTAAAATTATAAATTACACAAACATGGAATGAAGATTCAAACTGCAGTGCAGCTAAGCAGATTACAGAAAACCCCGCGTTCCATATGATAACACACCATGGCCCTCCCAGATGGGGGCTTGGAACAAAAAGGCCATCACCACAGCTAGGGAAAACCTCCTTGTGATCTCTGGTTTCTGTTCAGCAGATGACAGCCAAATAATATGTTGATTATTCTGTTTGTGCTGCTAAGCTTGTAAGATGGAATAAAAGCGATATGATCTATTGTGAACCCAATGCTAATGTGTTGCTCCACTCATAAATAATATACTGAATTTATTTTGAAACTATCTTTTATCTGAATTTCAGTTTTTAAATGCATGAATTAAAATAAAAGGCATGGCAAAATAATATTTAATTTGATGCTTTAAACTAAACTTGTAATGACAAGTGAAAAATATCTAAGTGCTTAGTTAACAGTCAAGTACAATTGCCTTTAATTTCAGCACTGTGATCAGAGACAAAATACATCTTTAAATAGGCAATTACCTCATTATGAAATATAAATGCAAAATTAAAAAATACAATAATCCTGAAGTTTATAATATACATAACCACAAGATAAAAACTAAAATACCAGAGCATATAAAAACATTTTTCTGCAATATAATAGCACGTAATTAGAACATCTAAAATATTTCCGAATAATAAAAAGTATCAAAGCCTTATGAATGTCCATAATGTGTACACAGATGGATGCTAACAAAAAAATCTTACTTAAGATGAAAATAATTAAAAAGCTTTTAAAAATAATTTTCAAATATATGTAGAGAACACCTTTCCTTTTTTATAGCTGTAGAGTATTTCATTTTATAGATATGCCATAGTTCATTTAACCACTACTCTACTGACAGACATCCACAAAATAAATATGCAAACACATTAATCAAGAAATATGTATTAGAATGCTTATAGTAATGTTATATGGAAAACCATCCAAATGTCCACTAACAGAATGGATAAAAAAATAGTTGTGATAAGGATGAATGGAGCAATGAAAATGAACCAACCACAACTACATGCAACAACGCAGATGAATCTCAAGACATGATGCTGAGTAAAGGAAACCAGACATTAAAAAATTCTATTGTATAATTCTATCTATACAATACAAAATACATACATAATGTTCTTTTCTTTATCTGGGTGCTGGTTACATGGGTTATTTGGCTTCTAGAAAATTCACTGAGCTACCTATTTTTAGTATCTGCACTTCTCTGTATATATAGCTTTCTTCAAAAAGGCAGTTTTACACACAAATACACACTATACAAAGGTAGTCAAAATCCTTGTTATAGGAAATCTAGAAAGTGACAAATAAAATCTGAAGGTGAAAACTAAACATTCTTATACTACTTATTTGAATAATCAAATTTTCAACTCAATAGCTGAGACAAATGCCTGGACCCTTTTAAATGGAAGAGCGAAAGCCACTTACCCTATTACCTTCTGCAACCCCCCAACCTCTAATACCATATTTTCAGAGGTATCTGGCCTTTCTGTGAGGAGTTGCTGCTGCTGCTGCTGCTGCTGCTGCTTTAATAACAGAGCTAAAATAATCTCAGGACTGAACATTTGCCCTTAAATGAGAAAAAAAAGTACCACAGAGGACAAGGCAGTATAAAGGACATGTATGTTTGCTGTTTTCCCCCTTGCCTTCAAATTTCATAAACTTTTATTTGTTAATTATGAAAGCTTATTACCTAATTATAGGACTCTCTTGAACACTTTCATTTTACTTTTCAATGAAGCTAAAGAAAATATAATTCTTTAATAACATTATCATAAAAACAAAATGAAATTTCATGATGATATGATAATAAACTAAACAATGTATCTCATTACCTCCCACTTAAATATTTTCCTTTATTTCTATACCAGAATCAATACAGGTGCTACA